GGGGGGGGGGGGGGGGGGGGGGGTGTTACACCGGGCCGCAAACGTGACCCAGCGAGAGTGGACCCACGGCTCGGAAATTCCACATTCGCACGTTCCCCGAGTCGGAACCGATTCGTTTTCCGTTCCTCAACATGTGACCGGCCAGAGGTAGGATGTTGTAAAAGCATCGCACTGGTATCTTCCGTACAGTGACAAAGCTGTCTTCGGAAGACCGTGGTAGACGCCCGAACTACTCAGGAATTGGTTCCGGAAACTTAAACTATTGTGCCGAAACTACACGAGAAAAAAGTTAGGGGCTATCACCTAAACTTGTAGCACTGCCCCAATTCGTCAGATGATGGGATATTTTCAATTAATTTTGGTAGTGCCGCAACTTATGGATTAGTAACCTAATTTATTGCGGTACCACCCAAAATAACTGTCCAAGTTGGGTCTTATCCCCGATCACTTTTTTCCGTGTAGCTAAGCGAAGTGCCCGCTTCGACTTTCATCAGTCAACATTAGGCGAAGTTTATGCCAAACGATTTGGTCATCAATCATAATCAAGGAAAAATTAGCGTTGGTCCCGGTACTCAACGTTTGCTTCGCCCAATTACATTGCTTTAATTGTTAGTACAGTACAAGATCGTTACAGTATATCGTCTCTGGCACTTCGATCTTTTTCAATGATTTTTGACTGAAGACCCTGGTGGATCTCTTAATATCACTATTTTTCGAGGTGCAAATTTTAATATGCACTCTTAATCGCTCTTCAACCTCTCCGATCTCGCTCTTCAACCACGTTCTTCTCTTACAAGTAGCGTGAAATTAGACAAACCGTCTTACACGTCATTAGAAATCGTCATTTTTCTTGTCTATCATTAACTTCAACTCAAGATACTTAACTCCTCCAGTTTGTTAGTATCCCTGATGCTTACCGATCGTTTTATTTTACAATATTGCTAATTTTGTTTTATTTTCTGTTTTAGGTAAGTACCTGATGATCTAACCTCAAAATCGTAATAGGAATGAGCTAGCCTGCTGTGTTCATGATGGTGGTTTTTCAATGGAATGATTCGTCGGAATCCGCTCATACTGCGCACTCACAAATGCCTGTAAGATTATGAATATTAATTTTGACTCAAAAATGGAACTCGAACCAACTGCAACCTTCGAACCCTATGATTTTCATTATAAAATATCCTCGACCCCCATAAAATGTACACTGAAAAAAAAAAAAACACATTGGATCTAGAGTCCAGACTCCTAAAACATCGACAAGAAAGAGTACTCTTGATTCAATCAGAATGTAGCTGAAATCAAGAACCAAGCCTCTTAATTTAAGCGGATTTCGTTTTGATTCAAGAAAAAATCCGATTGAATCGAGAGTATTTTTTCTTGTCAATGTTTTCAAGAGTCTGGACTCAAGATTCAATGTGTTTTTTTCCAGTGTAGATAAAAAGTAAGTTTCTTGGACAAGTGGATCCTCAAATGTTGGAGGCTTAGTCTCAAATCGAATCGTAAGCGCTGTTCATGTTGGCCTCCTCTAGAAAACGAGCAATTTGAGGGAAGGCAGTCTCTATAGAGATCTTGAGGAGACTCCAGAGAAACCCGGAGGAGGTTCTTGCCGGCGCCTGGCGGCCTCGGGCCCGGAGCTCCGATGCTGTTATCTGAGTAATGATAGTGTTTAGTCGAGACGCTCTCACCTTCACACCAGGCCAGTGACACTGGAAAGTTGCCCTGGACGTAGCCCCCCCCCTCCCCCCCGCCGCTGTCCTCCCCGGTCGTCCGGAACCAGTCACCAGACGTAGCGCACGGTGGGACGGTCACGTGGACTCGTCTGGATGCACCCGTCAAAGAAATCGAGAATCTTGTAATCGAGAGTTCTGCGTATGAATTTGGTTCATTTTTCAACCATGGTTTCAGACATGGTTAAACCCCGCGAAGCTAAATACTGAAACGAGGAAATCTACACGGAGAAAAAAAAATCGTGCGTGGGACCCGAAGTTTAGGTCATACGGATCTCTGAAGTTTTCGGATTGAGCATCCGAACACTTACGGTCCAGCTGCTGAGGTTTGCATCACACATCTGAAACTTCAGTTCTTACGTCTGAAGTACTTCGGTTCTCACATCCGAAAAACTTCGGTTCTCACATCTGAAGTACTTCAGACGTAAGAACTGAAGTTTCAGATGTGTGATCCGAACCTCGACAGCTAGACCTTAAGTGCTCAGATGCTCAATCTGAAAACTTCAGAGATCCATATGACCTAAACTTCGGGTCCCACGTACGAGGTTTTTTTCTCCATGTATGATTTGACGGCTCAAATGCAACGCTCGAGCACGGCAATTGAACCATGACGTGTCGAAAGGCTTTTTGGCGACTTGGAAAACCAGCGAATGCATGGGTAAATTTATAGCAATTCACCAAAAAAGGTTGACTCCAGAAGTTAAAATAATTTTCAACGGGATTTTTCGACCAGAAGTCAGGAGGAAGCAGATAAACTCAGGGCATTAAACATGAAGTGCTTTACAGTAATCCCTTCATTAGAAGTAAACGCAGTAGGTAACCCACCACGCTTGCCCCCTGCCCGAGCTGCTATGCAGGTCTCTGAAACACATAGTGAAGCAGAAACAAGGTCGAAAAACAAACGAATAAAAAAGTAGTTTAATTCGCTGCATTACGGCAATTTAGAATTAAGAGGTTTTCCAAGTTCGCCATGAAGGCTGTGACCCAGTTTTCCTTGAGTTGTTTTGAAAGGTAATAAAGAAATTGTAAAGCGTTCGAATGAAGTCCATTTTGGCAACAACAATTATCATCAATGAAGTCTGGGAACTTGGCCGCGTTACCGATGACAAACAGTATGTTCAAAAATTCTGCCTTTAAGAATGTTGTTTTATTGTTCACGCGAAAAGGGCTGTCTTGTAAAATTATCATTAACCACAGGTTCGACTGTCTGAAACGGAAATCATTAGGATGACTGAAAATCCAGTACTTGACTATAAATCTAGGAATTTATTCCCTTCGTATTACGCAATAGAACAGTATGTATTGCTCTATCCGTGCTTGCGTGATTACGTATCTGAAATACATGTAATAACAAACCGATTTGATGAAAGTCAGCAGAAAGAGTCCAATTTGTTTCAATGTAGCAATAAGTACCGCTCTCTCTCTCTCAAGGTAATGAACACTTGCTGCTGTCTTCTCGGAAATAGCAACAATTACGTCGTACCGGCTCTTTTACATCTTCCGTTTTTCGCACAAATGTTTCGCTATTCTGGCAGCTCAATCGATTATCTAGACGCCCAACAATCGAATTTTAAAGAACACTCACTTTCAAAATTGTGGCTGTTACTGCCTTTTTTAGTAGTACGGGACTGTTCATATCTTTGTACTCGACGTAGCTGTTTTCTCAGATCTTCTGTTTCTTGCGTAAATGTTGTAATTGCTCTTTCATGGTAGTAAATCGACCAATTATAAAATTTTCAATTTCCCTTCATTTTATTGAGAGCAAAGAGCATTGTCCAAAATTTCAATTTAGCCTAAAAGGGTACTAGAAATTTTCCCTCCCTATAACTATGCCAGACCTCCAAATGGATGTATTACTACTCTTTTCGTCGTTTTCTTCACGAAAGACTACCTTTTATGTTGCAAAATTTCTCCGCTCAAATTGCATTTTCACCAAGAGAACATTAGGAATTTGGAGCCGAAAATTTCACAGAATTTTCTCCTGATCTCGTATAACTATCTGGAAAACCTACAAATAAAATTATCGCGGTCGGGTGCGAAAAGGGCATTTCTTGGTTGCGGTGTTTCAGAATGTCCACTGCCAATTTACGTTCTAGAGAGGAAACTATTAGGCGCATTTTCTGCAATTTTTAGATTTCAACAATGTAAAATCGTAAAGAAAATTCAGAAAAGTTTGAACTAGAGTCCCTTTATACTGTGAGTCAAGACAACACCCCCGCATGGAGTCACAAACGGGAATAAAGATTACAGAAATTGAACGTTTTTTGGAATATTTGATCGGCCCATTCTCAAATTCCTTTCTCCGTTCCTTCTCTCATTCCGTTTGATCCTTGCCGAACCTGTGATTCCCTGGCCCATTCCAGATTATAATCTTTGCAATCGGTGAAAATGTAATCTTTATTCCCGTTTGTGACACTTTGAAGGCCTAAAATGCAGGAACCAATCAGAAATGGATTCACATTGTCTTGACTCTCAGTATAAAGGGACTCTACGGGGAACGACGCGACGTTTTGAGTGTTGACGTCTCCGTTCTGGACGCGGGGACGCACTGTGTGTCGGGGCGGTGAGCGGCGAGCGAGCAAGATCGGAGCGTAGGCCTAACCGGTAGTAGTTTATGCTTTCTTGGTGTATTTTATTGGCGCCATCCAGGTTCCCCGCGCGAGCCTCGGGTACTGTTAGTCAAGCCGATCGTAAGATAGTGGTCATCCGCCGCCGCCGCCACCGCTCGCGGCCCTCCCCCCTCACCCGCTGTCACGTCCAGTTTTCCTGACCGGTCCCGGTCCTGGTTGTCGTCGGAGTCGTTCCTCTGCCCTCGGCGTCCGATCCATGCTCCTTCCCGACCCAAAAGACCGGAAAGAGCAATAAATTGTGTCCTCAGGATTTTCTATTCCAAAAGGAGATACGTCCCAAAATCATCATTCCCCCGGCGAAAGAACGCAACCACACTTCAAAGTTGTCAAATTTCCCCTATGCTCCTTCCCGACCCAAAAGACCGGAAAGAGCAATCATGTCTTCGGGATTTTCTATTCCAAAAGGAGATATGTCCCAAAATCATCATTTCCCCCGCGAAAGAACGTAACTGCACTTCAATGTTGTCAAATTTCCCCTCGCGAATTGGAGTTTCAAATCTAGAATCTTCTCTAACTGAAAGTTTCACTGGTTTTTCATCTGATCTTTCGCAATGATCAGGAAAGTCTAGGATAAAAATTGGACGGTTCATTCTTGTAAAAAATCGAATTGTTTGAGTCGATTTTGCAACCTTGCAATGGAGTTATGATCCTTTGACCGGGAAACGACGGGTCATTAGTCCCTGGAGGAAAAATTTCCAGTCAAGTTAACTTTGCTTAATCTGGATATAAAACTTAACTCCACGATTTCATCGGATTCCCGGCGTTTCTTTTGCGAAGGAACGTAACTCTATTCTAAGGTTGCAACTTTGACTCGCACAATTCAGTTTGAAAAAAACACCATCTCTCACGTGGTAGAATATTGGTATTCACGCTCATATTCTGAAAATGCACAAGAAATAGCTTTCTATCGAACGCGAAGAGGTAAATTGAACACTTCGTCGGTTCGCCTTCAATTTTTAGGGTAGGCAGTATGCGCTCCTGCGTGGTCGAATAGTGGTATGACCCAACATGTCACGCTTTTATGCGGAAGGCACACCATAAATAGCCACTTTAAAGGTGACTTGAACGCTTCGTCAATTCGCCTTCAATTTTTAGGGTAGGCAGTATGCGCTCCTGCGTGGTCGAATAGTGGTATGACCCAACATGTCACGCTTTTATGCGGAAGGCACACCATAAATAGCCACTTTAAAGGTGACTTGAACGCTTCGTCAGTTAGCCTTCAATTTTTAGGGTAGGCAGTATGCGCTCCTACGTGGTCGAATAGTGGTATGACCCAACATGTCACGGTTACGCGCTGAATACAGGCACAAAAATTGCCTTTCCCGAACGCGAAAAGGTGACTTTAACGCTTCGTTCGGCCCGCATTCTGATGTGACTCTCGTTGTCCCCTAGAACTGATAGATGCTGAGGCTCATTTTAAAACCGACGTGTCATATTTAAGGATGGGCCGTTTCAAGCCTCTTGTGAGTTACGCCAGACCTAGCTCTATAATCCTATCAAAATTTCACGAAAACGCTTCTCGTAGTTCGTGAATCTCATGGGCCGTATTTAGGGTCGTCAAGCGGCTTCTGCTTCGAAGGAAGATAGTGTACGGTTTTTATTACGACCAAGGGACGTCAACGGAAGCCTTATATCACATACATAGAAAGGGGTGATTTCCATAACGAAATAAAAAAAATAATTCAAAAGTATGTCTTTCCGTAACTCAACGGTCTCCTGAATTATTGAGGTTTTTTA